CCCTAGTCCTAGATATTATGCAGCTCAAAGCATTTTATGATTACTTTAGCTTTCTGACTATTATATCAAACTTTCTTCTCATTTCAGTCCATGAAAACCCTCAGATCATTTAAAGAAATTTTTTAAAAAAATTTTTAGGCAATTGGGGTTAAGTGACTTGCCCAGGGTCACACAGCTAGTGAGTGTCAAGTATTTGGTCTGAGGCTGGATTTGAACTCAGGTCCTCCTGACTTCAGGGCTGATGCTTTATCCACTGAGCCACCTAGCTGTCCCAGATCATTTTCTCAGGCAAAATCCCATATCTCTTCCTCTCTGTTGACTACTTTTACTCCCAGCTTTGTCATCTACTTCTTTTTTGAAATTATTTATTTTTAGTTTTCAACATTCACTTCCACAAGATTTTGACTTCCAAATTTTCTCCCCATTTTGATCCTCCTCCTACCCCAAGACAATGTGCATTCTGAATACCCCTTCTAATCTGTCCTCCCTTCTATCACCTCCCCTTCTCTTATTGATTCCCTTTCTATTTTCCTGTAGGGAAGGATAGGTTTCTATACCCCATTGCTTGTATATCTTATTTCCAAGTTGCATGTGAAAACAATTTTTAACATTTGTTTTTAAAACTTTGGGTTTGAAATTTTCTCCCTTCTTCCCTCCCCACCCACCCTCATTGAGAATGCAAGCCACTTGATACAGGTTATACATGCCATCTATCTTCTTTTCATGGATGCTAATAGTAACAATGATTCTTGGAGTAGAATGTTGGTGCATAAATACAATGATCTAAGACAATTCCAAAAGACTCATGATGAAAAACGCTATCTACAGCCAGACAAAGAACTATGGAATCTGAAAGTAGATTGAAACATATTATTTTCTCTCTTTTTTTCCTTTTTTCTTTCTCATGGTTTTTCCCTTTTGTTCTGATTCTTCTTTCACAACATAACTAATGTGGAAATACGTTTGATGTGATTGTACATGTATAGCCTATATTAGATTGCATGCAGTCTTAGGGAAGGAGAGAAGAAAGGGGGGGGAAATTTAGAATTCAAAAATCTTATAAAAGTGAATGTTGAAAACTAAAAATAAAATAATTAATTAAAAATAAGATCTAGGGCCCTTCTAGCCCAAGGGAAAAAAATATTCCTCCTAGCTTTGGGTCACCCACAACTTATATGAATAAACCCTCTATGAAAGGGTGTGCTTATAAATGTTTAACAACCAGCCCTCTTGGGGGGAGGGTGATGTATACATTTAAGTTTGGACTGTATTATTAAAAATTATTAATAATTCCTCCCTCACTTTCTTAAGCCTAGACAACAAAGTAATAAATCAAGTCTTGATTTCACCAGGAAATGATTGAATGATTCTATCTTTCAGCATTTGCTGATTTCTGAGTGCAAATATGCACATTAAACATTTAACAGTCTTTCTCATGATCCAGTTAGTAGCTGGCTCCTGTGCACCATTCTATCTACACTTTTATATAAGTCATTGGTAAACATATTAAATAGAAGCAGGCCAAGAACAGATACCTGGAGTGCTGCACTGGAAATCCACTTCCAATTTGACATTAAACAATGAACCTGACTGTTATTTGGTTCTGGCCATTCAATCAGCTCTGAATATAGCATATTGTACTACAATTTATCTCACATATTGTGAGACTTTGACAAATTCTTTACTAAAATCTAGCTAGATCATATCTGGATTTCTGTACTTGAAAAATAGAACATTTTTTGTTTTTCTTCTGATTACTACCTCCTTTAATGTACCCTGTCTCTTATTCCCACCCCCTGAACTCCTTTCCTTAACTCTCTGTTGGATAAGATGAATTTCTGTTCTCACCTGTGTCTATATGCATTCTTCCCTCCTTTAACTGGTTCAGATGAGAGTGAGGTTCAAGTGTGTCCTGTATCCTCCAACTGTTCCCTTCCCTGTATGAAATCTTCTTAGTACACCCTATCTATGTGAGATGATTTTTCCCTATTTTCCTCTCCCTTTTCTCTTCTCCCAGTGCATTTCTCTTCTTCATTCTTCCATTCTTCTTTTGAGAGCATTCAAATATAACCAAATTCCATCTGGGCTCTTAGACTTGAAGACGCTTGGTGATGATACAGTTCTGAGGGGTTACATTTATCATCTTCACATGTAAGAAGGAAAACGATTTAATCTTCTTTAGTCCCTTATGATTTCTCACTCATGTTTATCTTTTTATGCTACTTTTGAGTCCTATGTTTGTACTCCAAATTTTCTAATCAGCTCTGGTCTTTTCCTTTTTGTTTTGTTTTTGTTTTTGTTTTTGTTTAAGCTCTGGTCTTTTCATCAGGAAATCTTGAGAGTCCTTTATTTCATTAAAGGAAAGACCCTATCATTAAAGGAAATTTGGAAAGAGTTCTTCTAGATGATGGGGTTTCATCTGTGACTTGAAGAAAGCTAGGGAACCCTAGAGGTGGGTCAGTAGATTAGTAGAATTCCAGGCATGGGGACAGTCAGGGAAAATGCATAGAAGTAGGAGGTAGAGTGTCTTCCATGAAGAATAGGAAGAAGGACAGTGTTATTAAATCCCAGAGTTCATAGGGGTGGGGAGTAAGATGTAAGAAGACTGGAAATGGAAGGGGTTGGGTTAAGATAGGCTTTGAATCTTTCTCAGTCTTTCTTAATGATATGTCCTTCCTTCTGTTTATTATTTCCAATTTATCCTGTATGTAACTTGTTTGTACATAGTTGTTTTCATGTAGTCTTCCCCATTAGATTGTGAACAACTTAAGAGCAGGGACAGTTTTAAACCTTTCTTTATATTTCCAACACTTAACTCCTTGAGAGTAGGGGCTGTTTTTTTTTCTTTATATTTTCAGTACTAGGTGCTTAATAAATGTTTGCTGTTGTTTCCAGGATCTTATTCTCTAGTGATGTGACCATTGTTGTTGTTCAGTTGTGCCCATGGGATTTTCTTGGCAAAGATACTGGAGTGATTTGCCATTTCCTTCTTCAATGAGTCCTTATTTTACCGATGAGAGACTGAGGCAAATAGGGTTAAGTGACTTGCCCAGGTTCACACAGCTGGCAAGTGTCTGAGGTCAAATTTGAATTTAGACCTTCCAGACTCTAGGCCTGGTCTCTATTTCCTGCACCAACTGTCCCTCAGTGTGACCATGGGCAAGTTATTTAACCTGTCAGTGCCCCAGGGAACTTTCTAATCTCCCTAAAGAGATTCAAAGACTAGAAGTTAGAAATAAATTGCTAATTTGCATCAGTGGAAGAAGTGCCTGGCATCTAGAAGGTACTTAAAAATAAATGCTTGTTATCTGTCTTACCCTAAGGGGAAAAATGGGGGAAAAGGATAAGGGAGAGGGAGATGATAGAAGGGAGGGCAGATTGGGGAAGGGAGTAAGCAGAAGCAAATACTTTTGAGGAGGGACGGGGGTCAAAGGAGAGAACAGAATAAATGAAGGAGGGGTGGGGGGGACAGAATAGGATGAAAGGAAATGCAGTTAGTTTTTCACAACATGACTATTATGGAAGTGTTTTGCATAACTGCACATGTATAACCAATATCGAGTTGCTTGTCTTGTCAATGAGGGTGGGTGGCGAGGGAGGAAGGGAGAGAGCTTGGAACCCAAAGTTTTAAAAACAAATGTTAAAAATTGTTTTTACATGTAACTGGGAAATAAGATACAGGCAATGGGGTATAGAAATCTATCCTTCCCTACAGGAAAATAGAAGGGGAAGGGGGTAACAGAAGGGGGGGGGTGATAGAAAGGAGAGCAGATTGGGAGAAGGAGTATTCAGAATGCACACTGTCTTGGGGTGGGGCAGGGATGAGATGGGGAGAAAATTTGGAACTCAAAATCTTGTGGAAGTGAATGTTGAAAACTAAAAATAAATTAATAAGAATAATAAAATGCTTGTTGACTGACTGATTTTCTCATGTTTTCAGCTTTCTCCTTCATGCCTTCTGCTGTTTTCCTCCATGCCAAAAAGTGTCCCATTGCTAAACATATACCCCAAGATGGAAAAAAAAAAGCCCCACATACACCAAAATATTTGTAGCAGTACCTTTTGTAGTAGCAAAGTGCTGGAAACAAAGTAGATACTCATGGATTGGGGAATGGTTAAACTGGTACATGAATGAAATGGAATATTACTGAACCATAAGACTACGAAAAATACAGAGACACATGGAAAGATATATATGAAGAAGTGACATCAAGTGAAGGAAGCAGAATCAGGAATATGTCAACTGACTACAACAATGTAAATGGAAACAGCAACAGCAACATCATGCAATTATAATGACTATATTCATCTCTGAAAAAGATAAGGGAAAATGAACTTCCTTCTCGAATTTGCAGAAGTAGGAAGCTACGGGTATGGAGTACTGAATGTACCTTCCAAAACAGATGATCTGTTACTTGTATTGGGCAGCTAGGTGGTGCAGTGGATAGAGTGCCAGGCCTGGATTTGGAAGACTCATTTTCCTGAGTTCAAATTTGGCCTCAGACACTTCCTAGCCATGTGACCTTGGGCAAGTCATGTAACCCTGCTTGCCTCAGTTTCCTCATTTGTGAAATGAGCTGGAGAAGGAAATGCTCCAATATCTTTACCAAGAAAACCCCAAATGGGGTGACAAGAGTTGGATAGGATTGAAACTATGGAACAACAACATTAGTTGTGTTGGTTAGTTTTTGCTAAACTACTTTTCCCCCCTCTCTTTTAAAATCTTTGGTGCAGGAGATGGTTCTTCGGGAAGGGGGAGGGGAAAAGATATTTGGAAGTCAAGGTGATGTAGAAGTAAAAACTGTCTATATAGACTTCGTTAAATAAAAAAAGAAACATTGCATCGATGAGGAAGACATCTTATCTCAGGCTGGTAGAAGAGGTACTTGAGATACATTTTATGAGATGCTATGGAGCCAAACCATTCATTCAATCACTACAAATAAAAACATGACCCATGTCTCACTAGCATGAATGTGTAAGAAACAAATCATTCTTACCAATTTTACTTAGTTCAATGTACTTATCATTACACTGGACTTCCCTTCCACTGCTGGTTCCTGTTACTAGGAAGTGATACCCTTCAAGCTCTGTGAATCCTGACAGGTTATCAAAATGACATCCAACATGTCTTCCTTCAGAATCTGTCTTGTATTTTGGACATTCTCTATCTGCAAAAGCACTGAAATAGCCACAGTATTTCTATGAAAGATCCAAAAACATTTTAGTATTACAGAATTATAAAGAGATTTCCCTTTAAGACCAAAACCTACTTTGCATTTTGTGAGTAAAAAAATTGATACTGGATATCCCTTAGAGTTTCTCTCACTGTCCATTTGCAGTCCATGAGATTTGCATCATGAACCTGGCAGGATAAACTTTCTTCAGTGGTCCCTTCTTTTCCTAGGAAGACAGAAATGAAAGAAAATCTATTTGCATATTTGTGTGCACACAAAATTTAGTTTTGAGGGTGATGAGAAATCAAAAAAATACGTTAAACATGATGATACATCACCTCTTCGGGGAATCTGGAATGTTTCTAAAAATCTTTTGCCAGCAAATCCCTCAATTTCAAAGTCTACCCCTTGGCACCAAGGATAATCGGGCTTTAGTTCACACTCGTTTTTTTCTGCCTAAAAACAAAAGCAATAAATCACACAATCATTGGCTAATTGATCATGAAACAGGACAAATAAAATGAGGAAATTAGACTAATACCCTCTAAGGTCCTGTCTACTTGTGATATGCTGTAACTCTCTAATTGTTGAGAACAAAGTCACCTTGTTTCCCAGAATTCTCCGTATTATACTGGAAAGGTCATTGGACTTGGGAGTCAAAAATCTGGTCTAGAGTTCTGGCATAGTCACTTACTAGGTATACGATGCTAGAAAAGGGAGGGGTAAGAGAACAAGCATTTCTATTATTCTTACTATGTGCCAGGCAATGTACCAAGCACTTTTCACAAATATTATCTTATTTGGTCCTTTACAACACTGCAAAGTAAGTGCTTTTATTATCCCCATTTCACAGTCAAGGAAATTGAGACAAATAGAAGTAAGTGACTTGTCTAGGGTTACACAGCTAATAAGTGTCCAGGCCAGATTTCAACTTAGGTCTTCCTGTGCTCTATTACTTAACATCTTTACACTTTAATTTTCTCATTGAAAAATGGAAATAATACTTCGCAGTGTATCCTGCACAGGGCTATTGTCAAGATCAAATGATTTGATTGTGTAAAAAGTACATTTTCAATCATAGCATAACATAGAAACATCAATCATAACTATTTATGACTTGGAAAAGTAAGTTCTCACTATCAAAGTCCCTGGCATTGTCAAATGGTTTAATTTCAGAGATGGATTATGATTTTGTTAATGGAAATGATGTTTCAGGGGCAGTTACGTGGCACAGTGGATAGAGCTCTGGCCTTCGAGTCAGGAGGACCTGAGTTCAAATGTCTAGGCGGTGACTGGAATCTAGGGAGACTCCCTCAATGTCACCAGAAGGCCCACATTTAATTACTGGAGGATGGTGGTGGCTTCAGACCCTTGTCTCTCAGAGCTGAACAGCAGCTGTGCTTCCCTTGAGGACCTGAAGGTAGTTGGGAACCAGTTGAATTCAAAACTGGAACTCAGAGAGGGAGATCCCAAATAGGGATAAAGTGACATAAGGAATTTAGCCCCTACAAGAGGGCCACAATTTCTTGGGGATGATTTTCTCTTCCCAGTGATGGAGACCTTTCCCTAGGAAGTTTTGCCCGTTTTTTTTTTTAAAAAAGTTTTATTGAATACTCTTTTCTTCTTTACCTGATAGTCATTTTGACTCCCCTATCCAGACTGAAAAAAAAAACCGGCAAAAAAATAAACAAAAACATTCAACACAGTGATATAACATCTGCCAAAGTATTAAAAAAAATCCCACTGGTGTAGTTTATCACCTCTCTGCATTAAGAAGGGAAGTGTGTTTAATTATCTTTTCTCTGGAAACCTCCCTCCCTGGCTTCTCATATTCCAATAGGCAATAATACCAAGTTGAAAGTGTGGTGAGTTGATGATGTAAAACCATCAGTGAGGGGAGCCAAGGATAAGGGGATACTTCAATTAGGACAAGGCAGGGGAACAATCTAGTTCCGTAGACCTTTTCTAGGGCCATCCTTCTGGGCTACTTCTGCCTATCGTCCCAGGGGTCTGTGCATTCCATGGAAGCTTTGATCTTTCAAGATGCACAGATTTTCCTGATGAGTAGAACCTGGGGGCTGAGCTTAGGGCCAGGCTGTACCTGGAAGGATCCAGGGATGCCCTATCCATTCAATCACTTGTTCCCAGTCTTGAGACCAGGGGTCAATCCCCCTAAAGAAGGCCGCGTTTCAACAAACTTGTTAAAAGACCTTTCGATGAGCGATCAGAAGATCTGGGTTCCATTCCTTTCTCTGACATTAATTCTGATTCCTTTTTTCTTCCTCTGTAAAGTGAGGAGGCTGGACAAAATGGCATTTAAGATCCCCTTTCAGCTCCCCCAATATATGCATCCATGAGATTTGGCCTCCTGATGATTCTATTTTTCCTCAGTTCCAATTGTGACTATTTCCCTTCTCTAGAGCCTCAATTGCCTTCTTTGTAAAATGAGGCAGCCAGATTAGATAGATTATCCTTGAGAAGCCTTTTAACTCTAGCTTTTTTCTTTTTTTCTTCTTTTTGGAGGTAACTAAATGATCAAAGGATAGAGTGCTGGGCTTGGAGTCAGGAAGACCTGAGAATCAGTTCAAATCTTGCCTCAGATCCTTATTAGCTGTGAAACCCTAGCCAAGTCATTTAACCTTTCTGTTCCTAAGTTTCCTCCTCTGCCAAATAGGACTGGGTTGTTGTGACATATGCAAAATGTTTTGCAAAACTTTAAGTGTTATACAAATGCTAGCTATTATTTTTGTGTGGAGGTATCATGGTTGCCTTCAAGTCTTCTTTCAGTTTCCTTACCCCAGTCCCTCTGTTTCTTATAAAAGTGACTAGTCTACATGTACCTCACCCAATATGTATGCTCTGAGATGCTAAGTGGAAGAAACAACTAACTTTAGCACACAGATGTCAAAAATAATTATTTAAACGAAGAAGCTACCAAATAGCCCACTTCCTTTAATGGGGGTGAGTATCATCTCAACAACCTTGGAGTGTTCCTAAGACTTTGGTTGCTATTCTGCCCCTCCCCCACCACTGAGGGTGCCTTTGGTGACACTTGTCTCAGGGGGCAGTTTGTAGTACTTATTTCAAGTGCAAAAATTCATAGGTGTGAATATGCTAGTATTGCCCATTAGTTCTTTCAAGTAATCTTTTCTCTTGCTCTAGGAAAAAAGAATATATTTGTATGATATACATATATACATATACATGTTTTTAGTTTTATATGCTTACATAGGTATATAGATGTATATATTCACATATGACTTTTATATATATGCACATATATATAAAATTATTTTTACCGGTATGCGATATTCTAATTTTGAGAGCACTTTAACAGAACAGCTGATGTTATTCACATTCTCCACATTGGTCCATCTCAGGAACATTGTCTTCATATCCAAAGTTATATTTTTAATTGGCGAATCTGGAGTTGAAGGTTTTCAACAATAACATAAATTCAATTCAACCAGTATTAATAAAGTACATGCTATTTGAAGAGTACTCTGGAGGAAGGTATAAAATTTCTGCCCTCATTTAACTTGAATCTATCAGGGCTGGTAAAATATACACAAATAATTAAAATGTGAAATAGTAATGATTTTCTAAGGTTGAATAAAATGTTATGGGAAGACATTTCATTTCTGATTGGTGGTAGGAGTTTCAAAGAAAGATTCGTGGAGGAAGTGGTATTGGATGAGATGGGGAAGACTTTAAAGTTTGAGCTGAAAGGTCAGATTTCATGCATAAGGCATAGTGTGAGGAAAGGTCTACAGCTCAAGGAATATACAGAGAGATAAATGAATAATGCAGGTTAGTTAGTATATAAAGAAATCCTCAACTCTTCCAGCTCAGCAGCCAGTAAAGGAACTCCCAGCAATGAATCATACCTGGACAGAAGTCAGCCCCCAAAGTATCCATATGGTTCCCCGGAAGCAGTAAGAGAATGTCTTTGAATACACCAAAGGGGTAGGGTTGGGGCTGTGGAAAGTGTCCCAAAGTGTATAAAAAGGTATAGATAAGAATTACATGCTTAGATGGACTAGCATCTATATAGGTAATGGGAATATTGATTAGATAATGGATCCATCCGTATATAGAAGCACACTCAGAATAGTACTTGAAATGCAGTTTGAATGTCCTATGATGGTTAATACCTTGCCATTATTACAGTTTCCTTTTGATCAGGGGTGACTCTATTGATGGAGCTATTATCTTAACTGAATTGTCAGTGAAGTTACCCTTAAGTTATATAAGTAATGATGGCCATGATTTGGCTATACCATTTGGAATATGTAATTTGTGACAAGTAGATCAATAGGATTGTGGATGCAATGAGAAAAATGATTACATTTTTCATTTCCTTAGAATGTAAGAGCTAAAAAAGATTGAAAAAGATTTTAGAGATCCATTTCAGTTCCCTCATTTTATAATCGATAAAACTGAGGTGCAGTGAGTTCAGATGCTCTGCCCAAGTTTACAGAGATAGCAAGAGATTGAACCTGGGCTCAAATGTCTTTCTATAATATTATGCTGTGGAACAGTTCTGTCATATTAACATTTGGGGAAGAGTATGAGTATGGGAACCAGGCTGTCATATTTAATGAGTTCAAATATTGGAGTAAGCATTGTTAGGACTTAAAAAGGAGTTCAAGTCCCTGCTGTAGACTTACAGTCTAATATTGGAGATAAGACAACATACATATAATACACAGGAGTATATATAATGGCACATATGTATATTATCAATAGTTACAGTTCGAAAGCACTAAAAATAAATTCAAAGATTATGTTCATTTCAACATCAATGGGAAAAATGAATTCCAATGGATTAAAATATGTAGTTCAAGGTAGGGCTTATTTTAAGTGAGCCACCATGTATATAAACTCATACATAGTACTTTCACCTCTCTCTCTATTTAGAAATGCAGCAGTATAGTTCATTTGAAAAAAATCAGTTAGAGTTTTTGTCATAGCAAAGAAATGGAAATAAAGTAAATACCAATAGATTAAGTAATAATGGCTAAACTAATTGTGGTACATGAATATAATAGAATATTATTGTGCTATGAGAAATGACAAATCTGTCAAATGATAAATACTGAGAAGCTAGGGAAGGATTACATGAACTGATGCAAAATGAAATAAGCAGAGCCAGGAAAACAATATATACAATGACTACAACAACAAAATAACAACCACCATAAAATAATAAGAGAATGAATATTGCAAAAATTATAAAGAATATATTCAGTTGTGTCTGACTGTTCATGACCCCATTTGGGGCTTCCTTTTTTTTTTTTTTTTTGGCTAGGCAATGGGGTTAAGTGACTTGCCCAGAGTCACACAGCTAATAAGTGTTATGTGTCTGAGGCTAGATTTGAACTCAGGTCCTTCTGAATTCAGGGCCAGTGCTCTATTCACATTTGGGACTTTCTTGACAAAGATACTGGAGTGGTTTGCCATTGCCTTCTCCAGCTCATTTTACAGATGAAGAACTGAGGAAAACAAGGTCAAGTGATTTGCCCCAGGGTCATATAGCTAGTAAGTGCCTGAGGCTGGCTTTGAACTCGTGAAGATGAATCTTCCTAATTCCAAGCCCAGTGCTCTATATACTGCGCTACTTCCCTGCCCCATTTATTCTTCTTGTAAAGAATAAGCGAGCACCAAAGAAGAGATATGAGAAGACACCACCCTTTACTCTTTTGCAGAGATGTGAAGTGGATGTAGAACATCTCACATATTTTTATATTTTTTCACTGTGTTAATTGGTTTTCCCAATTTTTCTCTTATTTCTTTTAAAAAAAATTCTTCATTACATTGGAGACTTCACTAGGAGAGGTGAAAGAATAGAGAGGGAATTTAAGTAGTGTAAAAAAAATCAATAAGATTTATTTAAAAAAAGATGCAGCTACTACTCTCTCTTTCCCTTTTCTCTTAAGACATTTTAAAATTTTCAAAGTGGTAGAGATAGTGACACACAATCAGCATTTGTCATAGTTCAGGTCCTGTCCTGAAGATGATGGACTTTGTCTCACTAGCACAAATCTAGTCCTTTGGCCTCCTACCCCTGAGAGCCAAGATCATAAAATCTCAGATTCTGAACTAAAAGGGATCTTAATTAACCTAGTCAGCCCTCCCTAATTTTACAAATAAGGAAATTGAGACTCAGAGAAGTTCAATGACTCACCCAAGGTCACAGAAGTGTTAAGTGGAATAGCTGGGATCTGAACCCATGTCATTCAAATCCAGCATTCTTCCCACTGCCCAATGAGACAATTGTATCATTATATCAACTTTCTAGTCATCCCAGAGAGGGATAACTAACAATCATTTAACAATAGTTAGTTATCCTAGTGAGGGATAACTAATAATAGCTAATAATCACAAACATCTGCAAGTTGGATGCTAGAATGATAATACCGAATCAAGGTAGAAAGACATTTCCAGGTTCCCAGAAAAAGGAAATACTTAAAAATTTCAAGGATAAAAAAACCATATAAAAATCACTGTCACAACCTCGTTACTCACCCTCCGGTGTTGGTGTTTGGCTGTATGTTACGGTTAGTAACATTGAGAACCAAATGAAGGTTATCAGATCTGCCATGGAACCACTCTTTGGGACTAGATCTGAAGATCTGAAATAGAAAGAGATAACAGGTAGCATATCTCTGGGATTTCACAAGACCTGGTCTCTGGCTGTGTTTCTTGGCAGCAGAAATCATAGAAACATTCACAGAATCTCTGAGTTAGAAGTTACTTCTATTTCAAACCATACCTGAAAGGGAATTCCTTTTACAATCTCCCTGACCAGATTTCCATTAGGTTTTATAAGAAGGCCTCAGAAGAAAGGAAACTCAGTACCTCCTGAGGCACCCCATTCAACTCTTGTTGGTTTTTTCAATTGCATCTAACTCTTTTTGTTACCCCTTTTGGTGTTTTCTTGGCAAAGATACTGGAGTGGTTTGCCATTTCCTTCTCCAGTTCATTTTACAGATGAGGAAAGTGAGGCAAACAGGGTAAAGTGAGTTGCCCAGAGTCACACAACTAGTAAGTGTCTGAGTCCAGATTTGAACTCTGGAAGATGAGTGTTCCTGACTCTAGGCCCTATTCTATCCACTGGGCCACCTAGCTGCCCAGATGACATATAGTATAGGCAATTAATGATAGTTTAAGTCCTCCTTGAGAATGAAGAACAAGCAACAAGACAATTAGGAAAAGGCTGAACAAATTGTGATGCTGTCACTGTTTGTCCTTCTTCTTAAAGAGGACCATGACATTGGGGAGGTGATGCCATGACATGCAAGTGAATTGGATTGCAGTGAGGCAGGGCTGGGCAAAGTCACCAGCCTCACTTTCTCCTCCAGAGCCATCTGAGTCCAGTGGCAAGATAGAGATGAGGAGGACTGGAAATGGCTCAGGGTGCAGTAGGAGGCCTTTTTAAGCTAAGTTCCTTCTGAGTTCTCACTTTGACTGAGGCAATGCCCATTCAGTGACAAAGGGTAGGTAAGAAATGAGTCAAGGAATGATCCTTTTTTACCTAATTAACAAACAAACAAACAAACAACAACAAAACAAAAACCAATCAGGGAGAGGGAGAACTTCAGGATTTCTGGCCAAAACAGAAACAATTACTATTTACATTCACTCTGAGCCTCTGGGGCCCAAACAATGACCACTAAGTGAAGCTTGGATTGGGATCTATTGTTGGCTAATCAACAGAGCCAGAGCGAATTGGGTTTAAGGCATGGTCTTTAAGAAAGAAATCTAGTTCCAAAACCTAAACCCCAAGATATCTTGCTAGGTTTTAGCCATCAATATTTACATTCCTTTGGGCAGAGCACCCACAGGTAAGGGAGGGAGGGAGAGAAAGAGAAAGAAAGGGAGGGAAGGAAGGAAAGAAGGAAGGAAGAAAAGAAAGAAGGAAGGGAAGGGAGGGAAGGAAGGAAAGAAGGAAGAAAGGGAGGGAGGGAGGGAGTAAGGAAGGAAGGAAGGAGGGAGAAAGCTGCATTGCCCAACTGGAACTGGCCAATTGGGTCCCCACTGAAGCAGCTGGGACTATTCACAAAGAGTCAGACACTACTTACTGAACAACAACAGGGATGGAAGAACCATGGTTGCTGCAATGGGAATGGGGTCATAAGAGAAGGAGAGCAAAAGATGCCAATTACACAGCACTAGGTCTGGGATTTTTAGGTATTACTCCTGTCAGCGTTTCTCTTCTTCCTTTCCTGCCTTCGTGTCATTTTTACACATTTGAAATGCTTGCATGTTGTGAGCTCAAAGCTATTTCATCTCTCCTCTTAGTTTGTTCTGTAACCAAAAAAAGGGAGGAAAGCACTCATTTGTTTTCAAAAGCAAACAAGGGGCAGAGCTAAGATGGCAGAGTGAAAGCAGTGACTTGCTTGAGCTCCCCCAAATCCCTCCAAATGCCTGAAAAAAATGACTCTAAACAAATTCTAGAGCAGCAGAACCCACAAAAAGGCAGAATGAAACAAATTTCCATCCCAAGACAACCTGGATGGTTGATTGGAAAGGTTGACTGTGAGAGAGGAACTCAGTTCAGGGTGGGCATGCAGGCAAAGACCAGGCCTCAGCAAACCTGCAGCAAGCCTCAGGGGACTGAATCACAGGCAACTATAGCAGTTTCCAGACTTCTCAACCCACAAACGCCAAAGACAACGTAGAAGATCAGTAGGAAAAGTCTGTGACTGGGTGAGAGAGAAGCTTGGTCCCAGCCCCAGTCCTGGGGCTTCCCTGGGGAAGCAGCTACTTCTTGAGCTTGGCCCACAAACTGTGGGGGAATTGAGTGGCTAATCAGAGGGGGATTGCAGAGATCTCTTTACTGGTGCTAGGGCAGGAATCTCTTGCTTTGCCCATGGTTGGATCTGTGTCACAGTTCTGGGTGGTGATCCTGGGGTGAGGAGGAGCACTGGCATGGTGGAGTTTGTAGGGGTGATGGAGAGGGAATTGTTCAAGGGAAAAAAAGGATATTCAGTGAAATAGAGGACTTTCAAGTATTTTTGATGAAAAGATCAGAGCTGAATAGAAAATTTGACTTTCAAATACAAGACTCAAGAGAAGCATAAAGAGGTAAACAGGAAAGAGAAATCATAAGGGACTTATTAAGGTTGAACTATTTATATTTTTACATGGAAAGATGATATTTGTAACTGGTGAGGCCTTTGTCAGTATTGGGGTAGTTGGAGGGAAAAAATTATATGTACATATATCTATAGATAGAGGTCACAGGGTGAGTTGAAGATGATGGGGTGATATCTGGAGAATAAAATTAAAGGGTGAGAGAGGATTATACTGGGAGAAGGAGAAAGGGAGAGGTTGAATGGAGTAAATTATCTCACATTAAACAGATAAGAAAAGGCTTTTATAGTGGAGAGGAAGTGGGGGAAGGTGAGAGGGAATGAGTGAATCTTATTTTCGTTGGATTTGGCTTAAGGAGGGAATACCATACACATACAATTGGATATGGAAATCTATTTTACCCTACAGGAAAATAGCTGGGAAGAGGATAAGAGAGGGAGGAATGTCAAAGGGGAGGACAGATTGGGGGAGGGAGTAAGCAGAAGCAAACACTTCTGAGGAGGGACAGGGTCAAAAGAGAGAATAGAATAATCAGGGGGCAGGATAGAATGAAGGGAAATATAGTTAGTTTTCCACAGCATGACTACTATGAAAGTGTTTTGCATGACTACACATGTATAACCTTTATCGAGTTGCTTGCCTTCTCATTGAGGGGGAAGGGAGAAAATTTGGAACCCAAAGTTTTGAAAACAAATGTTAGAAATTGTTTTCATATGCAACTGGGAAGTAAGATATACAGGCAATGGGAAATAGAAATCTATCCTGTGCTACAAGAAAATAGAAGGGGAAGGGAATAAGAGAAGGGGGGAGAGATAGAAGGGAGGGCAGATTAGAGGAAAGGGTATTCAGAATGCATGCCATCTTGAAGTGGGGGGAGGAATGAGATGGGGAGAAAATTTGGGACTCAAAATCTCATGGAAGTGAATGTTAAAAACTAAAAATAAATTAATTAATTAAAAAAAGGAAACAAAACCCACCCAAACTTTTCACAGAACATTGGAGCTGGAAGGAACCTTTCACTCCTTTTAGATCAGATTTTATAAAGGAACTATAGCTCAGAGAGGATGAATAAACTGAATAAGATTACACAGCTTAATGGTGGCAGAACCAGGACTCAAATCCAGATTCTTGTCCCAACTAATTTCACATCTCCATGGATACTCTCACTTAAGACACCATTCTTAACTAGAGAGTCAGGTGTTCTGGACCCTCTCTCTTTGGGTTCCCTTAGGGATTGGAATACGAATACACTTGATCTATTTCCCAGAGGCAGAAAAATTATTCTTGGGCAAAACTGGGTGGAAATCTTTTCCAAGAAATTTGAAACTATGCCTCAAAGTTACTAAACTGTGCATATCCTTTGCTTTTTTTTTTGTAAACTATTTCATTTTTTCCAATTACAAGTAAAAATAGTTTTCAACATTCATTTTTCATAAGATTTTGAATTCCAAATTTTTCTCCCTCCTTCCCCTCCCCAAGATGGCAAACAATTTGATATAGGCTATACATGTGCAATCATATTAAACATATTTCCACATTAGTCATGTTGTGAAAGAAGTATTGGAACAGAGGGAGAAGACCATGAGAAAGAAAAAACAAAAAAGAGAAAGAAAATAGCATGCTTCAATCTGCATTCAGACTCCATAGTTTTCTAGACGCAGATAGCTTTTTCTATCATGAGTCTTGTAGAATTGTCTTGGATAAAAAAGCAACTAGATAGTGCAGTAGATAGAACACCAGCCCTGGAATCAGGAGGATTTGAGTTCAAATCTAGCCTCAGATACTTTATACTTAACTAGTTGTATAACTCTAGCAAGTCACTTAGTCTCAATTGCCTTGGGGGTAAAAGAAGAGCTACTCTTTTTCACTGCACAATTGTCTCAGATTTTATGCCAAATTATTTGCAAAACAGTTGGGTGTGACCATCATGTGAAGCTTTACAAAACTGCCCTGGTATTACTTAAAAATCATTTATTACTAAATTGTCTTTGGTGCAAGATTAGGATGCATGCCTACAGCTCTTCATTGGGTTGAGTGACAATACTGTTAGTTCTACAGTGCTCTAAACAAACCATGCAAATCAGCTTTTGGAAATATACTGACAATTCCTACAATGTGTGTGGACTGAGAATTCCAGGCTCACAGCTCTCAATGTGCAAGAGATTAATGTGTATCCATATGCCACTGGTGAATACTTTCCTGCTCTGTTTACCTTTTAAGTGGCCGGCCCGTCAACCAGCCTGACAAACAGAATTTGACAGACAGAATTACACCATGTAATGATTACTTGAAGAAAGGTTGTAAACCAATTTTTGGACTGAAACACACTCATACACACACACACACACACACACACACACACAAACAACACAGTGTGACAATTATGTGGTGAAATACAGTAAGTCTATCATAGTTGATTTTGATCATCACAGTGTGCATACCTTTTGACTCAATGAAACCACTACTAGATCTATATCCCAAAGAGATAAAAGAAAAAGGAAAAGGTACATATAGCATGAAAATACTTACAGTTCTT